GGGCAGTCAACTCGCTTTAATTTGTGTTACCACCATGACAATATTAATATGAACATGACACATGACGCATCTCACACTCAGATCATTCATATTAGGTAGTCAGATTAGTTTATGCATCTAGGCCTATTCAAGATCCTGTCAGTTCCAAGATAGTCATCCAAATGAGGTTAATATGCCTATATAATTAATTTAAAAATGTAATTACTAGGAGATGTTTCTCATAAAGTGGGGTGTTTTCCACATAGATAAACAAGTAAAATAAAATAAAGAATTGGCATTGGCTCTGGTTATTCAGAAGATTGTCCGACGCTGTTTTGGCATCTAGAGGTCCATATTAAGGTCGTGCGGTGTGTGTCACAACACCACCTCAGTGTTGCCAGATTGGGCGGTTTTGAATTTGATTTTTTCGGGTAAAATTTGGGCTGGTTTTGGGTCAGTTTGGCAGTTTTCAAACATATAAATTGCATATGCTAATTGTTTAACAAACAAGCCCAAGTATGCATGTACTGCATCCAATCAGTCATCACAACGTTACTACACACACACACACACACACACACACACACACACACACACACACACACACAGCAGAGGGGCTGGTGCTGATGTAAACGTCCACAGCCTCACTTATCACGAGGGCTCAGCAGACACGTAATGATTCATCAGTGACAAGTTTTTAGCGTGATAAGTTATAACGTATCTGATTTTGAATGTAGTATGACTGTAGGCTATATTCAAGTAGTCTAACCACAATGCCTGAATATAAGTTAAAGAGTGGGAGAGTGACTCAACTATCAAAATGTGAATTACTGTGGAGTGAGATGACACGAAGGCTCTATCACTGCAACTCTGAAATCAGAGCACATTTTAATTAATTAATCAAAACCGAAACTAAATATGTCGGTTTATACAATCCTGTCTTTTATCTTTTAAACGGGCCAGATTGATAAATCCTTGAAAACTGCTAGACTTGATTAGTTTTGACTGTGCAAACATCTGTATTATGTTCTACAATATGAACTTAACAAGAGGCTTCCTCTAGTTCTGAGTAAAATTATAGAGCGACACGAAGTTTGTTGTTGTTATTATTTTTTTTGTCGTATTATAATTCAGTAGGCCTATATACCAATGAATGACACCGTTTTGACTGTGATGGCGTGTGCATGAAACGAGTGTGAAATGCTAATTACGTTACTTTTTCCTATCACTTATATTGGGCACTTTTTACATTTAAATTGGATTATTCCGACTGCTGTGTTGTTTCGAGGGTATCGGTTGATTTCTTGATTGCCATTTTGACAGTGTCTGCTTGTATATTTTACTCATGTTCAGTAGCCTAATTATCTTTAACGTAGGCTATTTGCCCCGATTTGATCCGTTTACCTGGGAAATGTACCTAAAGTTATATTTATATTATTTTGTCGTCATTACATTTTGTTTTAATGAGTTAAAATGGCCCTTATCAACCTTGATTTACATATTCCATCACATTATTTTGACAGTAAAAGTTTTGGGCGGTTTTTGGTGCATGCTTTTGGTCTGGAAATCGTCCATCCAATCTGGCAACACTTCAAATTGACAGAAGAAAGAAAGAAAGAAAGAAAGAAAGAAAGAAAGAAAGAAAGAAAGAAAATAGATTTAGGCTGCAGGAGCAAAATTGAGGCAAAAAGGTTTGTTTTTTAGTCTATATCAAAAGAAAAATAAATCCATATCCAAAATAAATCCAAAATAAATCCATAAATGAATGCACTAACTTTACAATGTCCATGTTTTTAGTTGCTGTTACAACCCACCATAGTGTGGTCACAAGAACTTAACATTAACAAGTAGCCTACTTAATATTAATTAAGTTACAGGAATGCTATAGACAGTGCAAAAGAAAAAAACAATGTTTGAAACAATGTTACACTCGCTAAGTTCTGAAATTCCTACATTGTCTCGGTTTGTTAGGCTCCGTTTAAAGACTGGTTTTGGCCTGCTGCTATAAATATAGCCTACATTCTGCAGCACCAGTCAGTTTGACAAGTGAGCAGGTGTCGTCCAGTCAGTGTCTGCGGCTGTGAATAAATCAATGTTTTTCTTCAGTGTTGTTTAAGACATCTGTGAACACCATCCACACATCCGTATGTAAACAAGAACATCCGCATGTGCGACTAGCACTGACGCCCCGCCTCGAAGAACAAGAGGGAGGAGCCTCGGGCACATAAACAAGTCCAGACTGTACACCGACAGGAGCCACTGCGACACAATACAAATAACACAGAAGCATTCAAGCTGCAAAAGTACTTTTCTGACAGCTAATAAGGTGGGCAAATCTTAAACGTTGTTATAACGCTTTTACCGCATCTTTCTGAAATGTCAAATTTCTTTGCCGCTTAAGCTAACCTGTTAATGTGTTTTGTTTTCTCGAGAAAACTGCACTGATCTGTACAGTTAAATTAAGCTGATTTTTTTTGTAATTAAACATTCTAAACATTGTTTATTAGTTTATTAAAATGCGCCACTGAAACTTTCTGAAGGACAATAGACAAAAGCTAAAGCTGTTTGTCTGTTGTTGTTGTTTTTTCATTAATGTCGTTAGTTTCTTCGATAATCTGATAATCTGATTATTCTCATACTTCTTTATGGTAGAGTTATTTCAGTAGATATGAAGCATCGCTTGACTGTAAACAAGTCTAGATGCTTTACATGGTCAGGGCTACAGCTGATCACTCCTTCCTGTCCCACTTCACCTGACGTGTATAGGGGGGTAATTTTAGGGTATTATTAATAAACATAACGGTGTTTCGTTTTTGACTGATGATAAAAAAAGACCAAGAAACATCGTAAACTCGTGTAAAAATAGGCCTACTAAAAAATTACAGTAAATGAACCGTCAAGCAGATGTTTTCATCACCAATATTTCAAATAAACTTTAATTATATTCTAAAGGGTCCTACAGAGTGCTATAAACAATTAGGCATTTGTGAAATGTCATGCTGGTTTAAGTCATCTGGTGTGTACAAATATGTTATCTTTGTAAGCTGGATGCTATTCAAACCTGTAAAAAATGTTTTGTGTCTGTACACTGGGCTCATAGAATCAAGTTTGCAAAATAACTCCTAGTTTTTACCTTTAGCAGAGCAGGATGACATGCCTGCACATATCTGATCCTGTACAGGAGTATTGATGATCTGATTCTGATTCATACATGAATTTAGTCTATAATCAAGCTAAATTTAGAAAGGAATTCCAGACGATGTTAAAAATAAGCCATCTGTGGAAGAGAACACCATGTCTCAGTTCAACCAGCTGATACGTGCCAAGTGCATTAGTTGTACCAGGCCAGCAGAACATAACCAGTGTTAGGGGTAATACAAGTAACGCAAGTTATGTAATCAGATTACTTTTTTCAAGTAACTAGTAAAGTAACACATTACTTTTTAATTTACAAGAGAATATCTGAGTTACTTTTTTTATTTATTTATTGATTGTCAGCTCTCCTGTCCCCATGTTGAGAGAAATCAGTAACGTAATTAGTTACTTTTTTATGGAGTAACGCAATATTGTAATGCATTACTTTTAAAAGTAACTTTCCCCAACACTGAACATAACCTTACATATTAATATTACGTAAAGCTCTCTACAGTGTCTGATGTGACACCTGAAACTCTTTGCACGTTACTTTCCATCATCAAGTTCCAACCAACAGAAGGAAAGACACTTGCATGCAAAATATGCTCATTTCAATATCTTACTGCAAGGAAAATATTGCATTGGGGGTCGATTCCACTAGAGGGCAACATAACTCTTCATTGATACATATTTTTTTAACAGATAGCAGTCTTACAAAACCATCACAGAAAATGATCAGTAGAATCCTTGCACAGCTGGTGGGAAGAGAAGAGAAAGACAGCGATGTTGCAGAAGAACCTGATAACTGTGCGGACCTCCTCGAGTTTGATGATGGAGAGTGGGTTATTATAAAGATACACGGTGAGTTATTTTTGGTTATACTTTTCAATTATTGCTAAAAGGTGACTGATTTTTACAGTACAGTAAGTCTTGTGTTTATTGTTGTAAATAGTAATCACATCAGAGCAGGCTTAGAGTGTCATTACTTTCATTTCTAGCCTGTGTATTTTATAGTGGATACACAAGGGAAACAATCTTCATTATTTTGTCTGAATGTATCCTAGTGTGGTTTTATTGCATACAATTTCTTTACAGTATAAAACGTAAAACTAGTCATCGTCCTTGTGGCAAACATACCTGTGTGGCAACTAGTCCCAGTATCCCTCATATTGTATAGCTTACTCACTCAAGTAATGCTGTTGAATTGAAGCCATTTATGCTTCCTGTGCAGAGAATCAGTCACTTGGTTCCGCTGACACACACATTCTTGAGAACCTGTTGATGGAGCACCCCAGCATGTCTGTATACCAAATGAGGCGTGATCAGGAAGACCCTGGCTCAGATGAAGAAACAGGGGACATGGCTTGGTACATTTAACAACAATTACAACTTTTTAGCGAGTATCATTTCTAGTGCTAATATTCATTATTTAAATAACATGTTTATACACCATATTGTTCAAATGTTTGAGGGTCAGTACGTTTTTTTGTAATGGTTTTGAAAGATGTCTCATGCTCAACAAGGCTGCAACTGATTAACAATACAATAAAAACAACAATTTTGTGAAATATTAGTTAAAATTAACAGTCCCATTTGAACATAAAATGTAATTTATTCCTAGCAAAAGATATTTATGATATTTTTAGCAGCATTACTTCAGTCTTCATTGTCTTATTCTAATATGCTGATTTGGAAATATTTCTTATTATTAATTTTGAAAACAGGTTTGCTTAGTATAGGCAGTTGTGCTTAATATTTGTTTTGTGGAAACTGTTATTTTATTATTATTATTAATATAACGTTTAAAAGAAGAGCACTTATTTGAAATATACATTTTTATTGTCACTTTTGATTTAATTCATCCTTACTGAATAAAATTGATTTCTTTTAAAAACTTAAACCTTAAATCTTATTGGCCCCCATGGTAGTGTAAATAAGATGTGTATGATTATCTATTAAACAATATTTTAAAAACACATACACACACACACACAAGCTAGGTCTGTGGATTGAATTTGAGAGTCGCATTCCATATGGGCCACATTTATGGCTCCAGACAGCACAAACGCCACAGCACTTATTTGAAATATACATTTTTATTGTCACTTTTGATTTAATTCATCCTTACTGAATAAAATTGATTTCTTTTAAAAACTTAAACCTTAAATCTTATTGGCCCCCATGGTAGTGTAAATAAGATGTGTATGAAATTATCTATTAAACAATATTTTAAAAACACATACACACACACACAAGCTAGGTCTGTGGATTGAATTTGAGAGTCACATTCCATATGGGCCACATTTATGGCTCCAGACAGCACAAACGCCATACCCAAATCATATGAAGAAAACAAATCCATTGATGTCACACTGATATGTAACCTATATATCCATGTTGTAACTGTGGTTATGTTGGCTTGTGATTGGTCAATCTACCCCTTTAGGCCTGTGCCAATCAGACGTCACGTTTCATGGCGGTTAGCTGCATGGGGCAACCCCTTGCCCTGCAGCACCATTCTGCTCTCAGTGAAGGGTGCCAGAGTCTATAATGAGCACAGAAAGCTGACCCGTGGTGCCCTCAACAGGCAGAACCTCGCAAGAACACGCTATTCAACTTCAGAGTGCCGCTATGGCTACTTCAAACAGCCCACTCAGCGTCTGTACAACTATTGAAAAAAATCAATTGCATCTGAAACTACTGAACAGCCAGCCTTGTGATAAATGAATAGTCGTTTTAAAGGGGTATGTTTGCAAATCATGCCATGAAACCATTCCCCTGTGAGACTTGTATGGATTATGAAAAACGTTTTGATAAATGCAGTGTGTTATTATCTTAGGGATAAAGCCTCACTGATAGTCCCGACACTGAAATAACTCTGAAAAGCATGTGTTACAAAACTGCAAGTGAGCTGCATTAATAGTCTAGGATTTTAACGTTTTTAAACAGTGTAATGATGTTTGTGCGCTTCTATTTTAGCTTAGCTGTGACTGGTGCATGCATATTAAGTGAAAGAAAAAACATTCAGTGTTGAAGCCTAAAATAAACTGTTCTGTACAAGGCAATGCATTGTTTACATCAAATATTAAGGTAATCAAATATCTTAATGTTACTCACAGGACTAAGCAATATGCTGTGATTTACTGCCAGTGATTCATATTGTTATTTCATCCAATAACTGTTATTTGACTTTGTATATTTAAATGCCTTTTTGGTGTTGCTTTATTTTTTATCTTCACAAATGTATTTGATAAAACCTTTTAAAAAGTGAAAAATAAATATTTTATCTTCAAATTGTTTATATGTGTTTATTTTTTTGGTACAACTGAATTACAACAGTTACTCCCGAAGTTCATGCATCTTCCCCATGAGCCTTTTGACTCTCTCAGTATCCACACCATTTGCCCAGTAACCTCCTTTCTTGAAATGGGAGCCAATGATCATGGCACTTGCTTGAAGGTAGTGCTCCACATTATCATGGGTTACACCAGAGCCGATGAGAACAGGTATCCGGACAGACTGGGTAACCTCTGTAACACAAATAGGGCTCAGAAAACAGGTCAGCAAAACATGAGTGTGAGAACATCTTTCTGCTACATGCATGCATAAAAATACAAAAACATGTTGTTCCTTCATAGTAATGAGGATTCTGGCAGACTGTGGCTCATCCTCCATCTGACGGCTTCCCCAGTCCAATGGATCAGAACTAAGGGAGGCAATAGGCACAAGTCCAAAGTAGGCAGCAGGGCAGTGGCAGACTAGGCTGGGCCTGGTTTTCATGCCTATGTTTACAGCCTTCCATGATCACCAGCCATCTGGAAGTGGGATTTAAAATAGCTGGCAGTGCTGGTGTATGTTAGCCCATACAAGGCCACTGGTTTTGAGGGAGGGCAGGAAGCAGGCCGGGACAGGAGACTATGTGGCATCCTTTCTGCCCAAAGGACACCCCTGTTTTTAAGGATTTACACACCTGTCTGATGGGCTCATTAGATATTAGAAGCGGATTAACCTCTAAATTAGCAGATTAACCTCTGAATGGGACTGAACACTGAGAGCGTATCACAAAATTATGCATTAGTGTTAAAGCTGTACATCTTTGCTCACCTGGGCGGCATTTGTTTGATAAATAATACAGTAATACTGTGAAATTATGCCCAATTTAAAATAACCGTTTTCTATTTTAATATATATCATTTATTAATTCCTGTGGTGGCAAAGCTAAATTTTCAGCAGCTATTACGCCAGTCTTCTGTGTCACATGATCCTCTAGAAATTATGCTGCTCGAGATAAAAAAATAAATAAAAATATCTTATCAAATGTTGAAAACAGTTGTGCTGCTTAATATTTTTGTGGAAAATATTTTTTTTCAGCATCCTTTGATGAATATAAAGTTAAAAATAACTATTCATTAATTATATCAATGTAAAAGTCTTTACTGATATTTTTATGTAAAAGTATTAATTTTCTATTTAAAAAAAGTTAAAGGCAGTGTCGGAGTGTAAAGGGACATAGAAAAGCAAAAGGCTTCGAAAATTGTTTGTGCATGTGTGGCACTGTACACATGTTGTTGACCAAATATGTCAAACAGGATGACATATGAGATAAGTTGTGTTGTACTGTGGCAGATCAAAGTTGCCAAATTCAAACATGCACAGCATACAAGGATGGCCAAAGTGTGGCCTAATACATCAAATACAAAAGTTATACTACAGTTCAAAAATTTGAGGTAAAAAAACCTTAACCTCTTTTTTCCTCAAAGATACATTACAATACATGTTACTAAAGATTTCTGTTCAAAATAAGTGTTGTTCTTTTGAACTTCGTATTAATTTGTTTTCAACATTGATAATAAGAAGAAATGTTTCTTGAGCACCAAATCAGTATATTAGAAGCATTTCTGAAAGCTCATGTGACACTGAAGAATGGAGTAATGACTGCTGAAAACGCATTTGAATATATAATAAAATAGAACAAAAGATATTTAATTTTTTTTAAATACTGTATACCGTTTTACTGTATTTTTGATCAAATAAATGCAGCCTAGCTGAGAATAATAGGCGTCTTTCAAAAACCTGCCATCTTTTTAATGCTGTGCATCGAGTAGTATAAGAGGACATATTGGATAGCATCACAATTTACTTAATGATGCAATGAAGATGTAGTATGTAACATAAAAATACACACACCACTTTTACAGTCACATTAATGTGTATGAAGCCATTAGGCTGCCAGACTCACCCCTCAGTTCCTCTGGATCAGCCTGCGCTCCAGTGGCAGCTCCTGTGACGATGACTCCATCGGAGAGGAAGAACTCAGCTGCTTGGGCCGTCTCAGCTATGCTGACATCTGAAGTTAGGGCATGAGCACTGTAATGACCATTTTCAAATATAACTCATGTGGATGTGATCATGTGACACAATAACAAAGAAACCAGCACACTGTGCTGTGCCTCTTTTAGAGCTTTGTGGCCAGCGAGTTGCACGTAGTGTACTCATATCTGATCATACCTGTGCTTTTTCTTGATGTCTGTAAAGATCTGAATATGCTCTGCTCCAATGCTTCTGCGGTAGCGCAGCAGCTCGCCAGCACAAGCATTTAACAGGCCTTCATCTGCAACATGTGAGAACACAAACCCCTCCGCACGGATGAAATCCAGCCCTGTGGAGAAGTTAATATTCGTTAAATATCATGTCAGAGAATACTTGGGTTTGAAATGGCATTCGTGATGGTTTGTACAGTCATGCGAACACCTGAGGCCAGAGCAACAGCCAATGCTGATTGGTTTGCAGCTGAGAGAATCTGAACACCAAGCGGCCAAGATGGATACAGGCCCCTGACTGCTGCACACACAGCTGTCATGGATGCACACACTTCTGGGCCCACCTCAAGGGTGTATGGAATATCATGCATGTTTTCAATGATCAGCCCATCCTGTCATAGACAGAATTGTCTGAAATTAGCAATCAAACATTGAGCACACTGGCCAGAAACACAAATGACAAAGGTGAAATCTATCGTCTAATATATACAAGACTGTTTTGGTGTAATTTCGTTCTGGCTAGAAGCGACGAGTAGTCAGTCCAAAGACTTTTCTGACTCATTTCCACCAAATCGTTCTTTTGAACAGCTCGTTTCAAAGAACCGGTTGAAAAGTTCTTACTAATACTTTCCAACAAAGCCATCTGCCATTTTCGACATTACATTGATAAAGTTGTTTATTGCAATTTCATGTTCAGTCCTAGTTCATGTTTACACCAAGAATGACAATTATACAGATGTTTACACCAACGAAAGATAATGTTCTGTTTATATAGGCGCGCGTTATTGCTAAGGTTCTTTAAAGTGGATCACTTGTGATTGACAGTCAATATTTTATCCTTAACCAGTTGAAAGAAAATAGGAAAGTGATTCCATTCCATGATATCGTTCCTCTGTGTCGTTATCCCTTTTGGGAAGTCGTGGCCTAATGGTTAGAGTCAGACTCGTAACCCAAAGGTTGTGGGTTCGAGTCTCGTACCGGCAGGGATTGTAGGTGGGGGGAGTGAATGTACAGCGCTCTCTCCCACCTTCAATACCAAGACTGAGGTGCCCTTGAGCAAGGCACCGAACCCCCAACTGCTCCCCGGGCGCCGCAGCAAAAATGGCTGCCCACTGCTCCGGGTGTGTGTTCACTGCTGTGTGTGTGCACTTTGGATGGGATAAATGCAGAGCACTAATTCCGAGTATGGGTCACCATACTTGGCCACATGTCACTTTCATTTTATCGTTATATAGCAGTTTGCACTTGTCATATTCTCAATATGTCATATTCTGATTATGCATTTTAAGCAACTTTTTACACCATCAGTCCAATCCTAGATTCACTATCGAATGCTCCTGTACTCGGAATGTGGAAGATGAATCTCGGTTCAATGAGTCAGATGACTCGAGAACCGCTCGGACAGAATCTCACCGGTTCATGAATCGTTTAAACCGATGCCAAGATCCGACACCAGTTATTCATTGAAAAGATTCAAATGATTCGTTCACGATCCAAGCACAGCTAATACTTAGCTATTACTACAATAAACTCCAGAATGTGAGAAAGCGCGATATGATTATAATTCTATGATGATAGATGTATACTTATTACATGTCACTTATATTGAACACATACAAGTCCTGCGTGGTGGTAAACGTCCGCCTCTCGACATGCCTGCTCTGTGATCTCAGAGATAGCTGCGCGGTTCAAGGGGGTTCCTGCAAAAGAAATAAAATAAAAGTTCAGTATTTCTTCTCTTTTAAGTTTGTACTGGTGACATAAATGCGTTAATTACCTGGCAAGGCTCCGACGTGAATCATGCCAATGACATTTGATTTTAAGCGCCCGAAAAGATTGAAAAACTTCATTTCTTCAGTGCACAAACCCCAGATTTGTGTGTTTTGATGGTCATGTGACTGGTCAAAGGTTATATTAGTGCTAGAAAGTGCGGCTCTAACGACAACACCCAAGCTACATGCATTAAATCCTCTACATGAGCACGTAAAAAATACACATTTGATTGTATGTATGTATATTGTAGTATATAGTGTATTTCTAAGGGGGCGCCAGTCAATACAGTGGAACTGATTTGCCTGCGTAACCCAATAGCAGCAACTGGACCAGACAAATGCACTATACTACCGTGACAACACTTGACATCTCAAACGGCCAACCCAGCACAGCCAAACCATTGCATTTTATATGTCACTAACATAATAGCGTGATAAAATCCAACTATTTAGCCCAAACACTCGGATTGTTTACTTCTTGAGCCTGCTAGCCATGTGCTCAACGTACTTCCGCTACCTCAGACCGCCCCCCAAGAGACGTCACCAAACACACGCCTCATTTTGCCGGCAAAATGTTCAGGTTTCTAAACTTTGCTTTACTGACATTAAATATTTGAAGTATAACGTCGGGATTTCGCGTGCGCGCTCCGTGCTGGTGTCAATCCCCCCAGCTGCACCGATCGCAGGGCTTCGCTGCCGTTATAGCAGAGCGGGGATTTTAAATGGCCCGCGTTGACTGCCCCTTTTAACGACTGCTGGCGGGTTATAAGACAAGGCGCAAAATTACTGGCGCCAGCTCAGAGCGAGCGGACTGCGGAACACACCACAGCTTAGCCATATGCTGCCTGTTTACAGGTTATTGGAGCGGTTTTATTAAATAATGCCTTTTGTAACACAATCTTAACTTTTGCATTCGAGGACATCCGTGCAGAGAAGGCATTTG